TACCTACCTACTAACTACTCTCTATACTACTTAGTACTTAGTAGGTAGTGTAGTATATATATATATATATATATATATATATATATATATATGGGAAAAGATCATGTGCGCCCAAGTACGTACTACTACAGTAAATGCCCAAGGCCCAAATTCAATCTGGCCTATTCTGTGACCGATCTGACGATCACGAATGTCCGATAGTGTTTGAATTTTAATTTTTTTGCTACGTATCCAAAGCACTTAACATTTTAGACATGTGTTCTTCAAAAATAAACAAATCTACGAAAAATATCAAAAAAAAAATTACATGAAATAAATTGACCAAAATATCCCCAAAATGTTTCGAGTGTATGTTGGTCAATCTTTTTCTCGAATTATTTTTTATTTTTATTAGGTGCGCCTTGATGAGAATAACACATTCTTTAAATTTCCAGTGATTTCGATTTGTAGAAAAAAAAAAATTAAATACAAAATGAGATCGTGACCGTCAGATCAACCACAAAATGGCTCAGATTCAATCTAGGTCATTCATGTATGGGTGTACAGTAGTGACTCCATATATATATATATATATATATATGGAGTTTTATGGTGGACATGAGTTCTAAGAGTCCATGTAGAAATGAGTTCCCCATGTAGAAATGAGTTCCCCCTTAAAAATCTATTTTTAAGATATTGCGTAATTTTAAGGACATGTAATCTCTCTAACATGGAGATCATGAGTTCGAAAAAATAAATACATTTCAAAAATAATAAATAATAATTCTGCTAAGAAAACAATTGGACTGTTAGTTTCAATTGTTTTTAAATAGACCACTTATTTGCATCCATCCTTAAGATGAATGCTTTATACCTCGGGGATCGCAAATGTAGAAATGCGGTAATTTTCAATATAACAGTTGTATAGCAATATGATGAAACAATCTTCAAATTTAAAATATTAACTCTTTTCATTCTAAAGAACAATCACAAAATAATAATAATAGTAATGAATACACAAGCTAGAAAAATATTTTTAACCCAATTAAGATGGGTTGTCCATTTGGTGAGACACATAGTTCTAAGCCTTAGAATGATTTTTTTTGCCCTCCACAACTTTTAGAAATTTTTATTATCAATAGATTAACAATATTAAAAGATAATAATTAATTTTGAATTCATTAGGCTTATATCTTGAAATTCACTAAATGGATGGTCTAGATTCTTTGTTAGAGGGGTACAAATTGAATTTTTTTTTTTTTTTTTAGATTGATCATTGAGAAGAAGAGTATGTGTAAAATTTTGAATCATACAAATATCTCAAACATGGTTTTCTAAAAATACAGTTTCATTATATTATAAAGGAATGGTGACATTTCCCTACATATATATCTCGAGAGTATTTTATTATTTTTGTTCCACAAATCATGTGAATATGATATTTAGTATGTGCCATCCTCTCAATGGGGTGAACCTAAAAATAATATTAAAAATATTTTTCACAAAATAAAATGATCAAAATACCTCTAAAAATTATAAGGTATTTTGGTCATTTTATTTTATTAAAAATATTTTTTGTTGGTGAAAGTTCAAGAAATGAATTGAGCACCCAAAATTTGGTGTCAAAATTTCTGGTAGAAAAAAATTAAAAATAAAACAATATAGAGATTTGACGTTTGTGATTAGACTCTCTCAACCGTCTATTAAAATCGGACGGCAGGATTGGAGGAAGTATGTAAGTTGTATACAGTAGAGGGAGTCTGGAAAGCATTCCCATTACTCAATTCTGCCAAGTGAAAAACCCAAAGGGCATTTTGGGACACTTGGTACAAGGCAATGGAAGTTGGATTCGAAGGTAACCAGCAAGGTAATGAATGCCATCATTCAAACTTTGTCCTAAGGAGCAATAATAATACCCTAATAAATAAAATCAGATATAAAAGATAAGAAACAGAAATTCCTAATGGCCTTGAAGGAGAAAGGGCATACGTAATCACCATGGCTAGGAAAGAGTACATGTATTAAATCCCTCAATCCTAATGTGCCTTGAGAGAAAGACCTACAACATCCTTAACCACTGTAAATCCTTCCACAAATTAAAACAACAGCTGGGATTCCCACACGAACCTCTGCTACCTAATCAAACAAACATCATTTTTATTTTCTCTGTTCTGGTTACTGTCTAATAACAATAGTTTACTGTGATAAATAATAAATCAAAGAAAAACGACTTGAAGAAATTAAAATAGGCTGGTTCGGTCATCAAATATTTTCTTTGGATTTGAAATTTCAACAAAAAATCAATTGTACATCTGCTAAAGATTTGTGGTCACATGTAAGGGCAACTCCACCTTAAGAAAAAAGAAGTGACAATTGAAGAGAGGGAACATGAGAAAATAAAGTCTAGAAGAATAACTTTCTAGGCCTGGAGGGAAGGGGGGATTGGTTGGGAGGTTTAAGGGGTGCAGAGCCCTTTGATTCTTGGGATTGCAATATTCTGGCTGCCTTGGGGTCAGTTAGAAGAATTTTCTGAAAAGTTTGTGAGAAGCCGGTTGCAATAATTGTGACATGAATTTCACCAGTGTAGCGATCATCAACAACAGCTCCAAAGATAATATTTGCCGAAGGATCTGCCAAACTAGTGACCACCTGAAAATACATAAACTCGAACAATGTTGATTCAATAGGGAATTCTTATGACATTGAAAGAAGCACAAATAGTTCCATATCGATGCATGCACACCCACTCAGGGAGAGAGAGAGAAGAGAGAGAGAGAGTCTTATAAGGAAAGAGATGACTACAAATGACCAAAAGCAAATCCAGCAAGAACTGGAATATCAGAGAAGCAGATAATCAACTTGCATTTAAAAGGAAAATCAGCCTTGATGGTAAAATCTGAAGCAAATGTTCAAGTCCCTAGAAAACTAGGACAAAAATCATATTTTAACAAGGGAAGGCAGATACCAGTGGACAGGACACAGGAAAAAACCAGTCAAATGGGGACAATACCATTGAATTCGAAACATGATCTAGAGTGCAGTCCACAATTGGGTTACTTTCTTTTCATGATCATCCAATTAATCAAACTAATGATCAAAGTGGACTATAGTGTTTCATAGTCCATTACCACTGTTTGATTTCCATATTTACAATGTCCAAAGTCTCCTAAATGTATTCCATGAACGACTGTCCGAGAAATAAAATAAGGAAATATTTCAAGGAACAAACCTGAGACACTCTATTTACTTCTTGGAGTGTGATGTCCTTCCCCCCGGTGATATTATATACCACTCCAGTTGCAGATTCAATGGATGATCCAATTAGGGGCGCTAAAGTTGCTTGCTCGGCTGCCTCTTCAGCACGATTCTTACTAGAAGACACACCCACTCCAAGCATGGCAGTGCCTGAATCTTTCATAACGGCCTTAACATCTGCGAAATCCACATTAACTAGCCCAGGTATCTGCGAATTGGCCAAGTTGTATTCTTAGACTCCTTTTTTTTTCATACTTTGTGATTATACTAAACTTCGTCAAAATATATTCATTAACAAAAAAAGCCACTCATAAAGTATGGAAAGAAGTGATCCAAAGAATTACAGTAATAATATCTGAAATCCCTTGCACCCCTTGTCGAAGGACATCGTCAGCAAAAAGAAATGCATCTTGAAGGGGAGTTTGTTCATCTACAACCTCCAACAAACGATCATTTGGTATAACAATTAGGGTATCAACACATTTCTGTAATTTTTCAATTGCCTCCAGTGCCTACAAAGCAGAAAATAAGTGGATGAATAAAATCTGCAACAAATTCATACATATTAAGCAAGAGGTAACAAAGCCCACTTTGAAAAACTTGTTCCGAACACACAAGTATTTCTATTTCAGAGGCAACCACCTTATTCTATACTTCATAAAGTAGAAAAATATTTGCCTATGAAAGAAACATTGAACATGGTAGGAAACCTGGAGATTCTGTTGCTTTCTAGAAGATTCTTGAAGATAATCAGCCCCAAAATATGTACTTGAATATCCCGTCAATATACCAAAATCCCAACATAATGATGGTGTGAGGTACTTGCATGCATGTCTCGATAACCATATCCCATACGTACTTGCAACCACAATGGACACTAAGATATTATAAGCTCGGAAGTACGAAAGTGATAAGGACTTTTTTTATAGTTAATAGCAATAAAACTCAAAAGAAGATGAAAGAGAATGAAATAAAGGTGACCAAATTCTAAAAGGACTCTTTACCCCTTAGACCTGCCTCAAAGACTACCATAGCCAACTTCAATCCCTGCTACAAAACTTCACTTGCTTTTTTTCAGAAAAGAGGAGTTCCAATAAATAAAGGGAATGAGAAACTTCATAATCAATAAACAATCCCCCAGCCAGGATGTCAAAAGGCAAAAGTTCAATTCGGGTACGATATTCACCAGATGGTAATTAAGTATCACCCCAATCTTCTACTTGCTTAAAGAAAATGCACAGAAATACCACAAAGCCGCAGAATTCCAACTAAAATTTGCGCTTCAGAATCAGTAGAATATCAATTTCATTTAGAAAACACTAATAGAATGTTGAACAAAATCAAGTTAACTGAACAACCATTGCCAAATGGGGCCGTTAACTTCTACCCTAAGGACATTTAGTAAACAAATATTGACACCTATACAAGGAAAAAAAAGGGAGAACATTTTCGGCAGAAAGGTTTCGTACACATCCAATGCCTTTGGACATTTTCTAAATAGTTTGCATCAAGCATGGCACATGAGCACTAAGGTATCAATAATTTAGTTTCATGACATCACAATCCCATGTTATGACATATATAGCAGATAACATGCTCTAGAGTTCATTAAAGCATTAACATTAATCACAACAACATGAAGAAAGCAGCTTTAGAAACCTATGTAATACCCCCAACCTAATTCAAAAACAAAAGAAATAAATGTATGGTGCCAGAGTACACACAAGAACTAAAAAGATAACTCATGTATTCCACGATCACAATTATTCCAACTAAGTTTTAAGATAACGCACATGGACATAATACTGATAAAGAAAAAAGTGATGCACAGTTGGATATTGAGAAAGGTCCAAGCATGCATTGCATGCCCATATATTTCTTCAGCATAGTAAACCAATACAAGTTCTAATTCTGCTGGTGTTCTATTTTGAAAATTTACATTGTATCCCCAACCTATTAGCACTCCCAAACAAAAACCCCCAGCTTTTTTGGAACAAACAAATAGACACCAAATCCCAACTTTTTACAGAAAAATCCCTGAATAGAATTTGGACCTATTTATGGACCAGAATAACTTATTATGTAAAAAGACACTCTCTCTCTCTCTCTTCTCTCTCTCTCTCTCTCTCTCTCTCTCT